GATTTTAGAGAGAGGGGAAGGGAGAGGGAGATAGAAACATCGATGAGAGAGAGCTGCCTCCTACATGCCCCCCACTGGAGATCCGGCCCACAACATGGGCATGTACCCTGACTGGGCATCCAACTGACAACCTCCTGGTATGTGGGTCGATTTTCAACCACTGAGCCACACCAACCAGGCAATACTTAAAAATTCTGATCTCTTGCCCTGGCCGGTTTGGCCCAGCAGTTAGAGCGTTGGCCCGCGGACCAGAGAAGCCCGGGTTTGGCTCCCACTAAAAGCACGTACCTCAGTTGCAGTTTGTCCCTGGCCTCGGTTGGGGTTGTGTGGGTGGGAACCAATCGATGTGTCACTCTCACATCAATGTTTCTCTCTCTCTTTTCCCTCTCTCCCTCCTGCTCTATCTCAAGGTAAATGCAAAAAAATATCCTCGGGTGAGGATAAAAAAAAATTTTTTTTTAATTCTGCTCTCTTATGTTTTCAAACAGGTTTATCATCATTCTCTTTATTTTCTTCTAGAACTCTCATATAGGTTGGGGCTCTCAATCATGCCTCTCTCCTAACTATATATCATATATCCTTGTGTCTCTCTTCAATTACACCCAGTTTAGAGTTCTTACTAACTTTTTCTTTTCACTATTTTGTTTTTCTTAGTCCCAAACAAATCAGACAAGGAGTTCCTTTACCTGTTTTGGAAAGGAGTTAGTCACTCTCTTCCCAAGCTTGCTCCAAAAAGTAAAAAAATGTTCTTATCAGATCCTTTCTTTAGTTTTCTCATTTACTCTTAAGAATGTTTTCCCTGGAGAGTCTCCTCTTCTCTCCCAGAGTAAGAAACTTTGTTAAAACAAAGATTAAATGTCAAACTGAAAAGCCAGAGGTGAGGTTAAAGCAAAGAAAAATAACACCTATGTTGGAAATCTTCAACTCTTCACTGTTAAAAAGTGACATGATTTGGATTGAAAAATCATAGGATTTATGGTCCAATTTCCTATCTTCCAGGACTGGAGAGTCAGAGAAAAGAAGATTTCAGTCTTCTCTGAACTGTTCTCCACTGCTGGTTGAATTTCTATTCAATTTCTATCATTTAAAACCCAGATCAGACAGGCATCAGTCTTGTCTGAGAAACTTTATGAATTAGTTTCCTATGGCTACTGTAACAAATTACCACAAACTTGGTGGCTTAAAACACAACACATTTATTCTCTTACAGTTCTGGAGGCCAGATGGCTGAAATCAGTTTCAATGGTTTAAAGTTAAGGTGTGGGCAGTCCAGGTTACTTCTAGGGGCTGTAGGGAACAATCCATTTCCTTGCCTTTTCTAACTTCAGGAGACTGCCTGCATTACTTGACATTCCCTCAGCCTCTTGCTTCCATGGTTACATTTCTTTCTCTTCTGTAGTCAAATCTCTCTCTGCCTCCCTCTTTTATGGGCACTTGTGATTACATTTAATGGCCTATCCTGATAATCCAGGATAATCTCCCTATCTCAAAATCCTTAATTTAATCACATATGCAAACTCTTTTTCTATATGAGGTAGCATTGACAAATTTCAGAGATTGGGACATGGATGTCTTTGGGGGCCTTAGTCAACCTTCCCAGGGAACTTTCATCTAAAAAGTCAATCATGTCCTTCTCTATTCAGTCTATGGAATTTTATATATACTTCTGTTTGCACTTGTTAAGTATTTGTAACGTTTTTTAACATTTTCTTTTGTTTGCACAGATATCTTCCCAAATAAATATGAACTCTTTGAGGACAGGAACTTTGTCTTATTCATTTGTTACCCTATTGCCTAGCCTGGTGCCTGGCACCTAGTCAGCACTAAAGTATTTGTTTAATTAAATTAAATTTTGCTCTCTGATTTAAGCTTTGCATTATAGCTGTGAAATGTGAAATAAGGGAGTCTTAGACCACTAGTGCCAAAAAGGATGTCCAAAGCCTTAACAGTCTGATCTGTTTTTACAGGAAGTAACTTTAGATTTAGGAAAGTTGTCTTTATTACTATAACAAAGGTAAACTAACTACATGAAATCATACAGAAAAGGTTTGTAATAGGGTTTTTAGACTGGGAAAAGCTGTAGAATGACCTGATAATAATTTTAAATGCACAACATTCCTATGAGATAAGATAGGTATTATTTTTATGCCATTAAAACATAGAAATAATGGATTTGATTTTAACATAATTGAATGCAATTGTGGAAATCAAATCATCTCAGGTGAATTCTTTTTTTTTTTTCTTCTTTAATCCTCACCTGAGAATATTTTTCCATTTATCTTCAGATAGAGTAGGAAGGAGAGAGACATTGATGTGAAAGAGACACATTGACTGGTTGCCTCTCACATGACCCCAACCAGGGCCAGGGACCGAACCACAACTGAGGTATGTGCATTTGACTGGAATCGAACCTGAGACTCTGGTCTACAGGCCAACGCTCCAACCGCTGAGCCACACCGGCCAGAGTTCAGGTAAATTCTTAATTTAGGTGGGCTGTTCGTTTGTTTTTATTCCCCAATGCCCCTATTTATCTATCATGTTTATCTTAGAAGTTTACTCAATTTCTTAAGACATGACAGAGGTACAGAGCTAAATAATGTTCCCATTACATAACTTAAATAATGAAGCTCAGAGACCTACCTAATGAGGCAGTGTCATGGAATTATTTCTAGACAGGGATAAGGCATGAGCTGGGGTGAAGTTTGTAGGTCAGGCTACTAGCATCAGAAGATTCTTAGACATACAGATACTCAATACCTGCCCCCGCACCCCCAGTTCAGATTTGGTTGATCCAGGGAAGATCCTGAGAATGTGTATGTTTTAAAGCATCTCAGATAATGCATAATTATGAATAGATCTGGGATTCTCTTAGTTTGAGGCTCTGCAAAAATGTAAATGACAAGCTTGAGGCAAAGGAGCAGTTTTATTTTTGTTCCTTTGACTATGCCTTCATTTTGAAAAGAGACTCTTTTGAAAGAAATGATCTATATCACATCCCTAAAGGAATGATCAGATTGGAAGCATGATTAGTGAATGTCACATTGAGGAAGAAAACCTACAGCAGAAGGCCAACAGATTTTCTAATTGCCTTGATCTATGGAAATCAACATCTTGAAAGTTTCTGGACAATTTTATTGAGGTATAATGTTCAAATCATTAGATTTCAGTGATTTTTAGTAAATTTATAGATTTGTGCAATATCATGTCACAGTGCAAAGCTATAGTCCACTTGGGAGATGGAGTCAGCAGGTCACTTGGGAAGCTTAGAATTAGACAAGCATGGGTAGTTTTAAAGCATTGTCTTTCTTTACAATCATTTAATAAATTAGTTCTTTGTTGCCCTGGCCAGTTTGGCTCAGTGGATAGAGCGTTGGCCCCGGGACCAATGAGTCACAGGTTCGATTCCAGTGAAGAGCACATACCTTGGTTCCAGTTCATCTCCGGCCCTGGTTGGGCTGTGTGGGAGGCAACCAGTTGGTGTGGCTCTATCACATGGATGTTTCTCTCTTTCTCTCTCTCTCTCTCTCTCCCCCTCCCTCCCTCCTTCCCACTCTGTCTGATTATAAAATAGAAAAATATCCTCTGGTGAGGAATAAAAAAATAAATACAAATAAATAAATTATAGCCCGACCAGTGTGGCTCAGTGGTTGAGCATTGACCCATGCACCAAGAGGTCACCAGTTCGATTCCCGGTCAGGGCACATGCCCAGGTTATGGGCCCAATCCCCAGGTTATGGGCCCAATCCCCAGTTGGGGGCATGCAAGAGGCAGCCAATCAATATTCTCTCTCATTAATGTTTCTATCTCTCCCTCTCCCTCTCTAAAATCAATGAAAAAAATATATATAGTGAAATACAATGCTTTAAAAAAAAAAAGAAAGAAAGAAAATAGCCCTGTCCGTTTTTGCTCAACGCTTAGAGCATCAGTCCATGGACCAGAGAGTCCTGGGTTCGGTTCCCACTAAGGGCATGTGCCTCAGTTGCAGTTTGTCCCCACCCTGGTTGGGGTTGTGTGGGTGGCAAGCAGTCAATGTGTCCCTCTCTCATGGATGTTTCTTTCTCTCTTCCCCCCTCTCTCCTGCTCTATCTGAAGATAAATGTAAAATGTCCTTGGATGAGGATAAAAAAAATAACTTAGAGGATAAAATTGGGACAAGTTGAGAAAGAAATGAAATAAATCAGTATTATAAAAAATAAGAGCCCTGGCCAGTTTGGCTCAGCGGTTAGAGCGTTGGCTTGCGGTCCAGAAAGACCTGGGTTCAGTTCCTGCTAAGGGCACATATCTCGGTTGCAGTTTGTCCCTGGCCCTGGTTGGGTCATTAGGGAGGCAGCCAGCCACTCAATGTGTCCCTTTCACATTGATGTTTCTCTCTCTCTCTCTTCCTCTCTCTCCCTCCCACTCTATCTGAACAAAGAATGGAAAAATGTCCTTGGGTGAGGATAAAAAAAAAATAGACTAGCGATTCTCTTTAAGGACAGTGAAATTTGGTGATTATGACATTCCCAAGTTCTGAAGATGGGTTTATCCTCTTCTCTCCATAATACGTATCTAATGAGAGTGAATTCTCAGGCTGCGTGTTTGGTTTTCGCAGATCATCCGGCTCACCCAGAATCTTTTCTTTCCAAACATCTTTTCAAGGAGGTCTTATTTGATGAGTCTTACTGTTTAGGATTCTAGATTTGGCTCCTATTAATTTTCGGTAAATAGCTTAATGGTCCTGATTCCATTTTTTGCATTTGTCAACTATCATTGAACGATTATTTCAATTTCTAATGATCAAATGAGATAACTCTGCAAAGTTTTGGCAAATATCAGTGCTATGCAATCACGAAGCATCAACTATTAATTTTCAGTGTTAGTGTATTCAGTAATTTTTTAAAGCTTTCTGAATAATTGGCACTCTGCGTAGTCTCGTCCGCCCCCAAATAATGAAAGTGGGTGGGCGCTCCTCTAGGATTGAAGATATGTCTCTGCCTCCTTTTGTCTTTTAGTCTGACAAAAACTGTCATGGCGCCTTCAAGAAGAGGGAGAAGACCTTCCTTTCGCCCAGCGGAATCATCGGGGACACCTAAAGTGGACAGAGGGGTGGACGGACAGATGAGCTCCAGTTGAGACCGAAAATATTGAAACCTCGGAGAGGTGTCGGCCGGACAAGCTCAAGGGGAGGAGACCCACTTGAAAAACGATCCCAGACAGCGATCGCCTATCCGAGGCACCGCCCACTCCCACCCTTGTCCAATGGAAACCCAATGGCAATGCGGCACCGCCCATCTGTTGGTCCGGACGCCAAGAGGGCGGGGCTCATAGTTCGGTTGCGCTGCGGAGCGCAGCTGTGAGGGAGTCTCTCGGATCTGCGGCCCCGGAACCCGAACTGGAGCTGAAGCGCAGACTCCAGGAAGCCGAGTCGGGAGGTGAGCGACGAGGGGAAAGAAGAGGAAGGGATCTGGCGAGAGGATGGAAGTGTCGGCCTCCACGGCCTGGGATGGTGGGACCCTGGCAGGCGGGTGTCTGGAGGCGGCCCTGCTTACTCGGCAGCCAGGCCCGTCCCGCAGGAGCCTAGGGGCCGGGCCTGGGCCCGAGCCCCACAGTCACTGCCGGGCCCTCTGCCACCTCCCCCGAGTGGTGGCGACGGCGGTCCAGAATTCGCCAGCGCAGGGCGCGAGGTCCTGGCGTTCCTGTCCAACTCGGGCTGGCGAGAGGCGGGGCTGGCGGGGGCGGGGGCGGGGGCGGGGGCGGCTGTCGCGGGCCAGGCGGTCTGCGGAAGCGCAGTGTCGGGGCCGCGCCTGCTTGCGGGGTCGGCGCGCCGACTGCGCGGGGGCGTGGCCTGCGCCTCTGGCGGCGCCGCTGGGCGCTCCTGTGCTGAGGTGGCCGCTGCTTGCTCCCCCTGCCTGCCTGCGGGGCCACGTTCCCTTGCCGATACCTGCAGGGCGACCTGTTGGAGTGTGAAATCCCTCCCCTGAGCTTGCTGTGTGTCTGACCGCAAAGCCCTGTAGGTCTGAGGCCCTCTTTGGTCTGATCTGGGTGAGCGCCGCCGAGAGGCCTGTGGCCTGCCGAGCTGTTGCCGAGGAGTTGCAATGCAGAGAGGTTGCAGTCCAAGAAATGCAAGTCTCGGAGAAAAACTTTGCAGGATGATCTACCTACATTGATCAGAAATGAACACACTGTGCATCTTCGGGTGACTGGAGGCAGCTAGAAGATTCCCTTTAGGGGCGTAATTGGTCTTTTCCGTGTGTGGTCTGTTTAAACCTCTGAACGACCCTGGACAAAACTCCCAGTGTTGCAAAGATTTCATCATCAGTAGGGGGGTGCTAGGGGATCTTGGGCATTGCCTTTATTTTGCCGAATGGGGAAAGATCGAGGAGGGAGAGGACAAGCACATTCCAAGGGCATCCTTATGACTGATGAAAATTTGGCTTTTTTAGTGGTGCCCTACTGTGGATTAATTGTCTGTGTTCTGGGTCCGGAGGTTTCTTTAGAATTCATTGGCTACAGGCTTCCACTATTAGAATTTCACTAGTGTCTCCTATTATAATCTAACTGGAAATTTTATTTATCTGTTTGGATTCAGGATACATTCTATATTATAGCTGCTCTAGAAAGTAACCCATATGAACTTTATTACTGTTTTCTTAGCTACTTTTCAGGGGATGAAGAAGGAAAATTAACACATTTTCTGGTGAATTACTAACATGTAGATTGTAGCTTTACTGGCTGGTTGAATAAAATTTATGATGGTCAAGAACCTAGAAAATAACACAGGGAAAGACTATCTTGTCAGATTTTCTCTGTAGTGCTTTATTGCTCTCTTGTATTTACTAGAATGTCATCTAATAAAAATCTTATGAGTTAAAAGTAGTGTAGGTTGAAAGCAGAGATGGGCAGAAGAGGGCATCCTCAAGTTTCAAAAAGAATGGAAAGTTTTTCAAAAGATTGTTGATGATTTGTATTCTGAACTGAGTTAGAGGAACAACTCTGCTTTCCAGGATATCATTTTCGTACTGGAACGCACTCCCTTGAGTCCAACACACACAGGTTCCAACTCCTTCACAGCCTTTGTTCTTAGAGAAATGGAATAACAGGCTATGGTTGTCCTGTGACTATCTGGACAAGTTTTAGTGACTTTTAGCTTTTGAGAATTTTTTTTCTTCAAGTAGCCATGCCCCTGAGAAAATGTCATACTGTATAGTAGTTTAATACTTGTTCCTATAACTATTCATGCTTAAAAGGAGCACTGTATGCTGGATCCAGTGCCCCAGGGAATGGTGCTATTGAGCCATATGAAGGAAATGAAAGCTGGAAGATTTTAGTCTGAGATCTGCCTTAAATTTGTGGCTCCATGAGTATGAACATCTTTTTATTTTATTCATTATTGTATCTCAAGCACCTAGTCCAGTGCTTGTCCCATAATAAGTGCTTAATAAACATTTGTTGAGTGAGTGAATGAGAAAAAAATGTTGCTAACCAATACCCATTTGCCACATTCACCTCACAGGGAGGTGAGGTCATCAGGGATGAAGTCACTAACCACAGCCTGTCACCTGGCCCAGGGGTGGCCTCACCATAGACTGGCAGGCTCCTTCTGTGTATAGGAAGGACAGATAGTGAATGCCAAGGTTAGTTCTAGTGGAATAAATCAGCTGAGGGTTTCATGAGGATAAATTGGCTGAGAGTGCTACAGGTCCAGCCTTTGGGCTGGATTAGTGGAACATTTTGGGAGTCTGGAATCATCTGTTCTGAACAGTGTCCATGTAGCTTAGTTCTTGAGCACAGTGCAAATAAGGATAGAGGAAGATTCAAAGGGAAGGCTATTGTGTGAATATTTGCTGAGAAGGAATGGGATCTCTGGTTTTGCTGTTCATTTGGACTTTATTAAGGGTGGGTTATACTGCCATAAATTTTGTGTTTGCCACTCTTGGGTGGGTCATCTTTAACCAAAATAGCTTCTCTTCTCTAGACTAGGAGAGTAGTTAATGTTTCAGTGTTCAGACAGGACTATTTCTGCTTTTGGATTATAAGGAAACAAAGGAGGTATCTTTTATTTTCTTTTTAATCCCAGATGAGATTTTTAGAATTAAATCTTTATAGATCTATCCTGACCATTTCTGCCTTTTTCCTCCATCCTTGCCCCAACTAGTGCAGGCCTGAGTGTTCGTTCCAGCATGTCGGAGGGCGAGTCCCAGACAGTACTCAGCAGTGGCTCTGACCCAAAGGTAGAATCTTCATCCTCAGCTCCTGGCCTGACGTCAGTGTCACCTCCTGTGACTTCCACAACCTCCGCTGCTTCCCCAGAGGAAGAAGAAGAAAGTGAAGATGAGTCTGAAATCTTGGAAGAGTCACCCTGTGGGCGCTGGCAGAAGAGGCGAGAAGAGGTAAGGTGATGGTAGTATCACTTTTGGGAGAGTGACTTCTAAGAGGTGAGAAGTAGAGGGGCAAATTCTCAAAGATGAAAACCAAACTTCAGCAGGTCAGAGTCTAGGAGATGATCATATGGAGTATTAAGGTTGAGGGTTCATGAGGTAACTTTAATTCTTTCATTTGAATTTCCTAGGTGAATCAGCGGAATGTACCAGGTATTGACAGTGCATACCTGGCCATGGATACAGAGGAAGGTGTAGAAGTTGTGTGGAATGAGGTACAGTTCTCTGAGCGCAAGAACTACAAACTGCAGGAGGTAGGTAATGGTGAAAATGTACAATCTGTGAGGTGTTAGAATGCTGGTGTTAAAGAGGAATTGGGGTTGGGAAACTAAGGAGAGTATGCTGGGGTTAGATTATTTCTGGGGAGGGATAGGAAGTGATTTTTTAGGATTACAATGATTTCTAACCCTAATCCCACTGTCTCCCCTGTTCCCAGGAAAAGGTCCGTGCCGTGTTTGATAATCTGATTCAGTTGGAACATCTCAACATTGTTAAGTTTCACAAGTATTGGGCTGACATTAAAGAGAACAAGGCCAGGGTAAGAACTTTTTCCTGAGCTTACTGCATAGAGAGTAATCACATTTTTTCTTTACATCCAGATATTAAAACAATAGTTTTGAAACAGAGCTGACTCAACTGGTATGGAGATTAAAGTAGGGCTTTGACTACCACCTATGCCTTTTGTCTAGTTATAGACGGGGCAGAAATGAGTGAACTTTTGTTTTCTCCTTCCCATACATAGCTCAGTAGTTTTTATTGTCCTATTAAATCTAGGAAGTGGCCCTTGTGGGTGTGGCTCAGTTGGATGTGGCATCATTCAGTACACTGAAGGGTCCCTGATTCAATTCCAGGTCAGGGCACATGCCCAGGCTGCAGTTCAGTTCCTTATCAGGGAACAACCAATCAATGTTTCTCTTTCCCTCTCTCTTTCCCTCCCTTTCCTTTCCTCTCTTTCTAAAATCAATAAAACTTTTTTTTTTTTTTAAAAAAGAGCCCGGCCGGTGTGGCTCACTGGTTGAAGATTGACCTATGCACCAAGAAGTCGCCGGTTCAGTTTCTGGTCAGAGCACATGCCCAGGTTGTGGGCCAAATCCCCAGTGCGGGGCATGCAGGAGGTGGCCAGTCAGTGTTCTCTCATTGATGTTTCTCTCTCTCTCCCCCTCTCCCTTCCTTTCTCTCTAAAAATCAATAAAGAAAAAAATCAGTATAATAAAAAAAAGAGAGAGAGAGAGAGATGAATTCCTACCCTGCCAGTGTGGCTTAGTGGATTGAGCATTGTCCTATGGACTGAGAGGTCCTGGTTAGGGCACATACCTGTGTTTCAGGCTTGATTCCCAGTAGGGAGGGGTATAGGAGGCAGCCAACTGATGTTTTTCTCACATTGATGTTTCTACTCTGTCTCCTTTCCTCTTTATCTAAAAAACCAATAAAAACATATTTTAAAAAAAGAGAGAGACAGATTCCTGAAAAATATTTTAAAAAACATCTAGGGGCCCTGGCCGGTTTGGCTCAGCGGTTAGAGTATCAGCCCACGGACCAGAGAGACGCAGGTTCTGTTGCCACTAGGGGCGCGTATCTTGGTTGCAGGTTGTCCCCAACCCAGGGTCGATGTCTCTCTCTCACATCGGATGTTTCTCTCTCTCTCTTCCTCTCTCCCTCCAGCTCTATCTGAAGATAAATGCAAAAAAATGTCCTTGGGCCCTGGCCGATTTGGCTCAGCGGTTAGAGTGTCGGCCTGCGGTCCAGAGAGACCCGGGTTTGGTTCCCGCTAAGGGCACATACCTCGGTTGCAGTTTGTCCCCGGCCCTGATTGGGTCGTGCGGGTGGCAGCCACTCGATGTGTCCCTTTCACGTTGATGTCTCTCTCTCTCTCTCTCTCTCCCTCCTACTCTATCTGAACAAAAAAATGGAAAAATAATGATAATAATAATAATAAAAATAAAAAAATGTCCTTGGGTGAGGATAAACAAAACCAAAAAAAAAAAAAAAAATCTAAAGAAGTGGTACTAACAAAAAAAGGAAAGAATCTTAAAAAAACAAAAACAAGACCAAGCTTCTAATTTAATATCCATGTGGTGTATATGTCACCAGGCAGGGGATCATTTCTGCTATAAGGCCTTCTTTGTGTGCTTTGCCTCTCCAGGTCATTTTTATCACAGAATACATGTCATCTGGCAGTCTTAAGCAATTTTTGAAGAAGACCAAAAAGAACCACAAGACTATGAATGAAAAGGTATGGAGGGAGAACAAAGTTTTAAGCTGGTTCAGGGGTTTAAAAAAGATTATTTTAATTATAAAGTCGATCAGGAAGGGATGGAGGCAATTGGGAAGAGGGTTGAGTGAAGGGATTACTGCTTCCCCTTGTTGCCTCTCTGTTCCAGGCTTGGAAGCGCTGGTGTACACAAATCCTCTCTGCCCTAAGGTAAGTAGGATCTGGTTAGTGTCTTTCCCATGTCTCCTGATTTAGTTCCTCCAAACAGATTTCAGAGCACTATTCTGCTGTTCTCTGCTGCCTCACCCTACTTTCTTTGAGTGATATCCTGTCAAGACTAGGCCCCCATGGGTCTTTTAAAGGGTCCATCCTAATGCCCTAACCACATTATTGTCTCCCAACTCTTTCTCCCAGTTGCTTATGTAACTCATCAGGCATAATGGAGATTCAGAGTGTGGGGATTATCTTTGTGGTGACCATCAGGAGACCACCAGGCCCTTGCTCCTCTCTTAACCCTTGGGTTCCCCCTGCCCTTAATTTCCCAGTGGCCCCTCTAACAGCCCAGTGCCCCCACAGCTACCTGCATTCCTGTGACCCCCCCATCATCCATGGGAACCTGACCTGTGACACCATCTTCATCCAGCACAACGGACTCATCAAGATTGGCTCTGGTGAGGGGAGGGAGAGGTTCTGGGCAGGGGAGCCTCGGGATTTTGGGAACCATGGGGGTAAGATAAAAGAAATGGGGAGAACAGAGCAAAATTCTGAGTTGTGGGCTGGTGATAAGAGAAACTTTTCTAGTGGTAATTCATAGGGAGAGGCCAGTCAATTAATGGAAAGGGTGTAGGGGCTAACCATCCATCTTTTTGGAGGGAAGAAATGGGTAAATACAGAGATCTTGATAAGGGGTTGGGGAAAGGACAAAAGATGGATGTAAGGTCTAACTTGAGCCTCTGGGGCTGGACCCTACCAAAGGAGGTTCCAGGCTGTGCCTGCTGTGAGTGCTTTCATTTGCTGTGTATCTGTGTGCAGTGTCTAACATCTCTGTTTGCCGTGTCTGTGTGGTGTTTGTGTGGCCATTTGTCTGGGGCTTGGCTGCTCCATCGCTCACAACTTTTCTCTGTTTTCCTCCCTCCCGCTTACGGGCTGCTCTGTTCCCAACAGTCTTTCATAGGATTTTTGCTAATGGTGAGAGCTCCCTCTGCCCCACGTGGGGCTCTGTTTGTGCTCCCTCTGCTCCCCTTTGCGGCTGCCCAGTGCATGCAGTCGTGGGAGCAAACCCCATTCCCCTACCTCCCCTGCCTAATTATGCCTGCTTGGCTTCTGCCCTACCAGCCCTCCACCTGCTTGTCCTTTCATAACCTGCTTGTTTCCTATGGATTCGCCTGGCTGGCCACATACATCCTAGATTCTTATTTCCCCTCATTATCAGGCTGGTTTCATAAATCATACTGTGCTCCCAAACTCTGTGACTTGTAGTCATTGTTTATTTGAGTGAGTCCAAATTGGGCTTGGCCCTGGATCCTCGTTCAGCCCTGTGGCAGGCAATGTTGAAGGTTAAGGGGATAGAGTAGAGGTCTAAATTTTGGGGGGATTAAAATTGAAAGTAACTCAAGAGTATTGGTTCAGTTCTGAGTTATATTTGAGTTTCAGTCTGCAGAGGTGGGCAAGGAGGAGGCTATCTACTTGGTTGTATCCTTATCCTTTATCCAAGTTTCTGAGGTCTCAAATTGTCCTAAATTAGGAAGGGCTGCCTGTCATTTTATGCTGTTTGCAGGGTGGATGAAAGAACTACATCAAACATTTTCCTGTGATCAGGGATTAGATGTACCTGGGCTATGGGGAAGGTGAACAGGTCACAAGTGAAAGTTTTTCATTAGTTTCTATTGCTCTTTGACTAGCCCAAAGCCCCCATGTAACTGTTAGTTTAGTGTGGAACTTTTGTTGTAACTGAATTAGGGGCCTTCAATGAGACGTGGTAGACCTGAGGAAGGGGAGGTAGGTGGTGTTCATGTTTAGTCTGTAGTTGATGGGAAAGGGTTGTGCCTTTTGAGGGTTAGAGACTTCAGGAGAGAATTTGGCTTTTGGGGGCCTCTCTGGAGTGTGACTGTTTTGTTGATGGTGGTCAGATTGTGGGTATCTCCCCTACTCCCAGTGGCTCCTGACACTATCAACAATCATGTGAAGACTTGTCGGGAAGAGCAGAAGAATCTACACTTCTTTGCACCAGAGTATGGAGGTGAGGCATCCCAGTTTTACTGCCCTCTTCCCATGCCCAGGTTGCCACAGAAATAACATAAGTGAAATTGCTAGTTCTTTGCTACTGCCGTACGAAAAGTTTTTAAAAGGCATTTCTGCCATGCCCTACTCCCATCCTCTGATTCACCAAAGCCTTCTGTGTTTTCCTTAGAAGTCACTAATGTGACAACAGCAGTGGATATCTACTCCTTTGGCATGTGTGCACTAGAGGTGAGGAAACCACAATGGGGAGGGGTGGTAGTGATGGAAAGAGGTCAGATTAGAAGATGGAAGGGGAGATGAAGGAAAGACAAGTAAAGTACTGGTCTTGATGGAGTGACTGGGAACCCTGAGGTTTTTAGTTCTCCACTTTGCTTTTCATTCCCCGTCACTGCAGATGGCAGTGCTGGAGATTCAGGGCAATGGAGAGTCCTCATATGTGCCACAGGAAGCCATCAGCAGTGCCATCCAGCTTCTGGAAGACCCATTACAGAGGGTAAGAATCTTCAGGATCACTCCCTCCTTAACAGACTTTGAAATGTCTTCAGTTTTTCTTTCTTTCTCCCTACTGGGAATATGCTCTCTTCTAAGAGCAAGAGAACATAAGCAGAAAGGACACACAAAAGCAGTGAACATTTCCATACATGGTGCCTACAACATGTTTCTTTGTTTGTTTGCTTTTTATCCTCACCCGAAGAATTGTTCCATTTATCTTTAGACAGATTAGGAGTGGGAGAGAGAGACAGAGAAACATGGATTCGAGAGAGACACATCGACTGGTTGCCTCCCATGCGACCCCGACCAGGGCCGGGGATGAATGGCAACTGAGGCACGCACCCTTGGCCAGAATCGAACCCGGGTCTCATTGGTCCGCGGGCTGATGCTCCAACCACTGAGCCAAACCGGCCATGGCAACTACATCATGTTTTGTATATACACACAGGTTTGGGGTTTAAGATGTGTAATATTGGGGTTAAAGATTACATGTTAATTTTCTACATGGAGGTAAACTAATGTATTGGTTACCTCAGGTAACTGGTATGTACTCTGAGACATCTGTCTTGATATTTTTTAATGAGTCAATCAGTTTGAATTAATCATATCAGTCTTTTGGGGATACACACACACAGTTTACCCTTGAACAATGCAGGAGTTAGGGGTACCAAGCCCCCCACCCCCGTGCAGTTGAAAATTCACGTATGACTTTTGACTCCCCTAAAACTTAAAATGTCCCTCAGTATCTGTAGGGGGTTGGTTCCAGTCCTGCAGATACCAAACTGGATGCTCAAGTTTCTTGTATATAAATGGCATAGATCAATGCATACTATGGGCCCTCCCAACCATAGATTGAAAACAGTACAGGTATTTATTTTTTAAAATCTAGCCCTGGCCGGTTTGGCTCAGCGGTTAGAGCATCGGCCTGCGGTCTGGAGAGACCCGGGTTCGGTTCCCGCTAAGGGCGCGTACCTCGGTTACAGTTTGTCCCCGGCCCTGGTCGGTCGTGCGGGTGGCAGCCACTCAATGTGTCCCTTTCACGTCGATGTTTCTCTCTCTCTCTTCCTCTTTCTCCCTCACACTCTATCTGTACAAAAAATGGAAAAATGTCCTCGGGTGAGGATAAAAAAAAAAAAAATCTACATATAAGTGGACCTGTGCAGTTCGAACTCATGTTGGTTAAGGGTCAACTGTAGTTTTAGTTAGGGAAAATGACCTTAAATAATGAGCTAAGTCCTGGCTAGTTTGGGTCAGTGGTTAGAGCGTCAGCCTGCCGACTAAAGGGTCATGGGTTCGATTCCGGTCAAGGGCACATACCAGGCTTGCAGGTTCAATCCCTGGCCCTAGTCAGGGTCGTGCGGGAGGCAGCAATTTGTTGTCTCTCTGTCACATTGACGTTTCTCTCTCCTCCTCCTTCCCTTCCACTCTAAAAAAGTAATGGAAAAATGTCCTCGGTTGAGGGTTAACAATAAATAAGTAAAATACTTTGCAGAATTATAAAAAATACATAGTGAATTAGTAGATAGACTGTAATAAAGAGGTAACAGGAGTATCCAAACAAGGATAGTTTGTAACTCATTAGATTAAGTATAAAAGGGAGAGAAATGAAGGAAGACTAGTGGGAAGTCTTGAGGCTGGTGTGGAATAAGTTTCCGGTTCGGTGTTAGGGTAGGGTGTTCAAAGGGAAGATTAGGTATATGACCTTGTGCACCTTCAAGATTGAAACAAGGAAAACGGGTTAATTATCATGGGAACTGTGGAGGTGGAAAAGGGGTAATTTAGAAGAAGCATGGGAAAATCCAGTGCATTCAATAAATGATTGTAGTGGACAAAGGAAATTGTGGTACTAGGCTCAGGAAAAAAAGATGGTGAATATTATTGACCACAATGAATATATTTGTGAAGAGAGAAGATAAATTTGGCAAGGGTTAGAGAAGGTAGGGTAGGCAGTGAGTGGGCTAATAAAGCAGAGAGGTAGAAAATAAAGAAAAAATAGGTTTGAACAGTAAAGAAAAGAGAAAGCTTGTGTTTGGGGAGCAGAAAAATAATTAAAACCAGAAGGGCAGTGAATGATACCTTTTATATAATACAGTTTTTAAAGCTTTCAAATAACATTTAGCAATTTGTTACCTCATCTAGTGTTGAGCACCTAGTATGTACAAAGCAATGTGCTAAGTATAATGAGAGAGATAAAGATGAACACAATGGGGTGCTTGCGCAAAGCCTCCTCTACTTTCTTGTTCCCTTTTCCAGGAGTTCATTCAAAAGTGCCTGCAGTCTGAGCCTGCTCGCAGACCAACAGCTAGAGAACTTCTGTTCCACCCAGCACTGTTTGAAGTGCCCTCGCTCAAACTTCTTGCTGCCCACTGCATTGTGGGACACCAACGTGAGTCCCTTTGGCCTTCCTAGGAATGTTCTTCCTGTCTGGAGCCTTGTAACTATCACTAGCATCCTATTTTTTCCTCTTCTACTTCAAAGGATTCTTAACCTCCTAGGACCTCTGTGCCTTCTCTGACCTTAATCTGATTATCCCTGCGTAACTTCCCATTCCGTCATGCCCTCCAGACATGATCCCAGAGAATGCACTGGAAGAGATCACCAAAAACATGGATACCAGTGCTGTACTGGCTGAAATCCCTGCAGGACCAGGAAGAGAACCAGTTCAGACTTTGTGAGTAACTGAGAGGGTCTGAAAAGGACAGCTTTATTAGTATCATCCTGAGGATTCAGTCAGTGTCCATTCTCTGGAAATAGTTGAATCTGCTATTTTGCTGGTTTCCTTCCTTCCATCTTTTCTCTTCTTCTTCTCTAGGTACTCTCAGTCACCAGCTCTGGAATTGGATAAATTCCTTGAAGATGTCAGGTGAGAGAAGAGTGAGAAGGCTTTGAGGAAGCAGGGGTGGGCGCCCTAAGGCATTCACAGAGCCCATGTTACCTGTCTAATCTCTCTTTAGGAATGGGATCTATCCCCTCACAGCCTTTGGGCTACCTCGGCCCCAGCAGCCACAGCAGGAGGAAGTGACATCACCTGTGGTTCCTCCATCTGTCAAGACTCCAACACCTGAACCAGCTGAGGTGGAGACCCGAAAGGTGGGCGCTATGTGGGTGTGATGTTGGTATGGTCTTGGTGGAAGGGAGAAGAGGACACCACAAATAAGACTTTGTTCTTGAGAGAAAGGAATGCGTTTCTCTCCCCTGGCAACCATATCAGTCACTGGTCCCTACTCTAGTAACCCTCTTTGTCCCCTCTCCCTAGGTGGTGCTGATGCAATGCAACATTGAGTCAGTGGAAGAGGGAGTCAAACACCACGTAAGGCTCAGGGCCAGGGCTGCATAGAGTTGGGTGGTCAGAGGGTGGGGAAGAGGAGTTTCATTTTCTGACTGTCCTATTCTCCAGCTAACGCTTCTGCTGAAGCTGGAGGACAAACTGAACCGGCACCTGAGCTGTGACCTGATGCCAAGTGAGTCTCTCCCTCGGAGGATGGAGAGTCTATTAGCCTTATCTGTGAGGGACATATTCAAGGGTGGGGAAGGTGATAGGGCAGTAACACATTGACTCATATAAAATGAAAAATATTAGCCTCTAAAATTTAAAGGGGGATCTGACCATTTTTCTTGTGTCAGTCTTTCCTAGCTAGGGTAACCCAATTGGTGCTGTCGGAAGGACTCTGTGCCTCTCATTCCCACCTTGTACTCATGCTCTCCTGTTTCTCTGTCAGATGAGAACATCCCTGAGTTGGCAGCTGAGCTGGTGCAGCTGGGCTTCATTAGTGAGGTGAGGTTTCTGTCTTCAGCTGCGGGGCTGCCTCTGTTCTTCTCTAGCTGGTCTCACTGAGCTTTCTTCCCCAGGCTGACCAGAGCCGGCTGACTTCTCTGCTAGAGGAGACCCTGAACAAGTTCAATTTTGCCAGGAACAGCACCCTCAACTCAGCTGCTGTCACCGTCTCCTCTTAGAGCTTACTCGGGCCAGGCCCCAATCTGAGCTGTGGCTGTCACTAGACGTGCTGCAGCCTTCCTGCCCCTTCCCCCAGTCAGTATTACCCTGTGAAGCTCCTTCTCTCCTTTATGATTTAGGAGGGCTTTGGGGCTCCCTGGATCTGAGCATCACCCTACCCCTTCCCCTTCTTTTCCTCCCCTCTGCACTTTGTTTACTTGTTTTGCACAGACGTGGGCCTGGGCCTTCTCAGCAGCCGCCTTCTAGTTGGGGGCTAGTAGCTGATCTGCCGGCTCCTGCCCAGCCTGTGTGGAAAGGAGGCCCATGGGCGCTGGGGGAGCTGAAATCTACAATCCCGCTGGGGCGGAGGGGGCGGGAGAGAAGGGTGGTGCTGCAGTGGTGGCCCAGGGGGGCCATTCAATTCGCCTCAGTTGCTGCTGTAATAAAAGTCTACTTTTTGCTAAAAGCGTCCTGTGTGTTTGCTCCTTACCCACTAGGGGGAGCAGGGAGAGCCCCGCCCAGGTGTGGAGGTTGGGCCCTCAGGTAGTGCTGGGGCGGAACTGGCCTGCGAGCGAGGGAGGGGCCGCAGCCAGGTAGAGCTGCCTCGCGGCTGGCGCGGAGGAACACAATGAGGTGCTGCCGCCTCTGCAGATTTGGTAATTTAGGCGCTTTGGTCTCGTTCTCCTGCATCCATCCTCAAGGGGTCCCACGGCCCCTGGTTAGCTTGGGGCCGCCACACGGGGCTTCCCAGTTACTTTCTGGGCTCCGCTTACCCCTCCCCCCGTGCTCCGCAGACGCAGTCCGGGGCCCTTGGCGGCTTATGCGCGTGGGCCTCGCGCTGATCCTGGTGGGCCACGTGAACTTGCTGCTGGGGGCCGTGCTGCACGGCACCGTCCTGCGGCACGTAGCTAATCCCCGCGGTGCCGTCACCCTCGAGTACACCACTGCCAATGTCATCTCGGTGGGCTCGGGGCTGCTGGTGAGTGCTGCGGCCGGCGGGCAGGCGGGGGTGTGGGCGGGCGGTGTGCTGAGGGCAGCCTGGGCCCCACTTGTACTTTGTGTCTTCCAGAGTGTTTCCTTGGGACTTGTGGCTCTCGTGGCGTCCAGAAATCTCCTCCGTCCACGACTGGTGAGGGGTGATTTGTGAAGCTTTAATGAGGGGGCCCTGAGTCAGGGAAATAGGGGCTAACTCAACTTCATCTTTTAAGTGGGGAGGAGGAGACCCAAATAGAGAAACCCAGGTGTCTTAGTCAGTGGGAGAGTCAGCCACCCCAAGCCGCTCACCTGATCTTCTGACCCTGCCAGCACTGGGTTCTGCTGGCAGTAGCTCTGGTGAACTTGCTCTTGTCCACTGCCTGTTCCCTGGGACTCCTCCTTGCTGTGTCACTCACTGTGGCCAATGGTGGCCGCCGGCTTATTGCCGACTGCCATCCAGGACTGCTGGATCCTTTACTACCGCTGGACCAGGGCCCTGGACACGCTGACTGCCCCTTTGACCCCACAAGAATCTATGTGAGTGTGTGCTCAGCATTTTTGCAGTCCCCAAAGCCTTGGCCTGCCCCTTTAATCACCCCAACTTGCCACTCCTGCCCTGCTCCCTCCTAGTCTCCCCATCCTTCCTCTTCACCTTTTAGGATACAGCCTTGGCTCTCTGGATTCCTTCTTTGCTCATGTCTGCAGCCGAGGCTGCTCTATCTGGTTACTGCTGTACGGCAGCACTCACCCTCCGTGGGGTTGGGCCCTGCAGGAAGGAAGGGCTACAGGGGCAGGTAAGGAAGATGAACAGGAAGGGTTCATTCAACACAGGTTGGCTGTGTTGAAAAGGTGCTGAACTATATAATTCAGGGCCAGAGTACTAACTTCACCCTCTTCTGCAGCTGGAGGAACTGACAGAACTTGAGCATCCTAAATGTAAAAGACAGGAAAATGAGCAACTATTGGATCAAAATCAAGAAATCCAGGCATCACAGAAAAGTTGGGTTTAGGAGAGGTAATGGCCCATGAGGATTGTGGCCTGGAAAAGGGTAGGGGCAGGGAATTGCTCTTAGAACTGGTCTAGTCCCTTGCTATACTGCTTGCCTCTGACCCAGGCTCTTCCTTCTATCAAGCAGGTGCTGATCCAGAGGCTCAGTCCACAGTGTTTTCCACTGACCCCTAGGATGATATAAACACTGTAATAAAAGAACTCTTCTACTTGATTCTGATTTGGGGGGAAAGGGCACTGGGCTGGTGTTGAGGGTAACCTTGATCAAAGAATATAGTGGTCTCTGTTAGTTACAAGAGTTTAATGAAGGAAAGAACTTAATATTCTTCTCTGAGCTCTACCAGTTACTGAAAGGAAAAGCTGGTGCTGGGTAGCCCTCCACACCACTGACTGATGAATTTCAGCACATCCTGGCACACTGGGCTGTGGGAGGTCTGTAAGCAAACAGAAGATCCAAGAAACATCAGTGCTGAGAAAAACATTCCTGCTGTAAAGAAAATCAGCTCCATCAGTATGGGCAGCAGGGTTCAGGGCCTGCACCTGCCTTCTTGACTATCCCACCTGCCCTCCCTAGCAGTCTTGTTGTTTCAGTGCTGCTCCCCTGCCCCATCCTTCAGGTCTCCCGCTCTAACCTTGATAGCCATTAGGAACTTATTCCAGTTGTCCTTGTTAGCTGCCTTCCCTGGCCGCTTAAATTCAATTTTGTTCCTCAGAATGGGGTATCCTGTGGGGGAAGTAAAAAGGGAGGGGAACTGGGGTTTGAGAGGGAAAACAAAGCAATTTAGGGGGTAGGGATGTTTTTGTCTTCTGCATCATTTACCGAATCGCAGTAAAACAGTTTCTTGATCCTGCTGTTTTCCCCTCCTTTCTACCTACTACAGAATATGGGGTGCTGTGGGTTATGTACCTGTAATGAGGCATGGCAGTGCCCGAACTCCAGTGCTAGCTGCCACCAGGGAAGCCTCATAGGCACCGCGCTCATCCCGAGGCAGAACCTGTTCTAGTCGCTGGTCCAAAGAGACTGTGAGCACCCAGTCTCGAACCTCTTCTCTCTGAGCCTCCTGGGAAAGACACAGCACAGCTTCACACAGGGCAGGTTTGGGCACACGGTGGAGGGTCAAGTGGGGGGTTTGCTAAGCCATCATCCTTTCACCAATAAATGGTCCTTGAATTGAGGGTCACAGTCACATCTTTAGGTTTTTCCTCTGCTTTTACTTTCACTGAAGGAACAGTGAGGACTGAGGCCTTTCCAAAGATGTGCTTGACTGATGGCTGGTACAGAGGGTTGGGAGAACCATCCTAAAGTGCTCTCCCTTCTCAATGCACTCACTGGTGAGCCTCCCATTCTCCAATCCTGTGTCCTTACCAGTATGTGCTGCTTGGCCGGGAGTGGCACTTCAAAGGGAATGTCTGTATCCTGAAAGTCAGAGTGGTCAAGGGCATCCAGAGTCCCTTCCTCGATTGCCTGTGGCAGAGTGAGCAGCCATGAGAGAGGCGCAGCTTGTGACAGGCAAAACCTCCCACCCTCTGGGCACAGCCTCCCTGCTCACATCGGTCAGATCCAAAAAGCGGTTGAGGAAGATGAATGCCATGTTCTCCCAGCCAACTGCCTGAAACAGAAAAGGTGCAAGTGGGAGTGAGCATCTGGGCTTGAATGTTGCTTCTCCAGGATGCAGGGAAGAAGAATCCAGAAAGACACAGGAAACTGGTATTTTCCATAACATCAGCCCCACACTTAGCTTTGCTCTACCTGAGCAGATGGGATAGTCTACCTTCCGACTTTTTGATTTCCTTATCTCCTCAACCCCACCTTTCCTCGTCCCAGCTTACCTTGGCAGCAATGCCTGCTTCATAGAAGGCTTTGTCTGCAGGTAGTAGCTGGGTGTGACGTAAAAGTGAAACAGAAAGCTTGGCAGCCACAGTTTCCTGTGGATTCAAGTCAAAGCATTGTGATGCTGGCACTTCAGTGATTGAGCTATCAGACTAATGATACTATTACTGAGGCAGCGCCAGAACCAGAGAACCAACATCAGTGTTAAACTACTCTGCGTCTCAAACCATTCTGGGTCTTTGTTATTTTCATCTGCACAGAACTGGGCATACAGTATTTCTAAATTTCATTCCACTTCTAGAATTCTATCATCCAAGTACATGAAATAATGATACAGTGTACTATTGTGAAAAGGCAAAGGCATGTGTAGAAGAGGTCAGTACAGAAATCATGGGATTTGAATGTTTAAGCATGATGAGGCTGGAGCTGTGTGGGCACAGCCCTAAGATCAAAGGAGGCAGGAAGAAAACCATCTCAGCAAGGGTTAAAGATTTATTTAAACAGGAGAGAAGCCAGAAGAGACGTGGGCCAAGCTTGAGAATCCAGAACTTGAATTCCTTCAACTTCATACATTTTAAGATGCATCCATAGGACTGAGTGCTCCTCCCCCCTCCATCTCACCAGCTGTTTCACACTTTGGGCGGCAGAGCGAGTGGCGTAATAATGAGCTATCAGCAACATTGTCTCAAACTCCTCATGGGCTGGAGAGTTGGCCTCACTGGACTTCACCAGGTTTTCACACTAGAGCAGGCAGAGAGAACATAGCCTCGGTCAGAGGGGCACCAGGGCCACAGAGTGGTCAACTGATGGCCACCTGGACAGAGGAGGGTACAGTACATCAGAGGGAAAGATGTGTGTGCGTGAAAGAAGAGACAAGGACAGAGACAGGAGGAGGAGCCTTATCACTCTTGTCGACCCAACTTCCTCACCAGGTTGAAGAGGACATCCCGAAGATCAGCCCAGTTGTGGTAGGCCTCAGCACTGTTGGTCCCAGGTGAGCTCACCATGTCAGCGAAGATCCTTTTGTAGATGTTGAAGTTCTGAAGGTAGAGGGGCAGGAAGAGCTGAGTGAGAATGGGACAACTAGAGAAGAAAGTGGAAGTGGGGTCAAAGGCAGTCAGGCTGTAAATGTGTGTGTAGAGGAGCTAGGGGACGGTGATGGGGAGCGTTTTTATTTTTTAGGGAAGAGAATGAAGAAGAAGAAGAAAGTAACTATTTCTTACTAACTGGTGCTCTGTGATGGTGGGCAGATGTGTGAATGCAAATGCACGTTCCCAGTGTGAATGGGCTAATACTCCAGAGAGCTGTGATGCTCAGATAGGAGAGCGGTGTTCATTCATTCACTGGGAAAGTTAAGACCCTAGAGGTGTGTGCAGGATTCAGTTCTGAAATACTGTTCCCTCTGTGTGGGCTAAGAGCTTGGAAGGTTGGTGTTTCTTCGGTGGGTACATCCTACAGAGAGGCTATGTACATTTGGAAGAGACTGGATGGGGTCTCTGGGCATGACACTGATCAAAGAATCCTTAACAAAGACAGTTCCTGTTGGGAGGGTGGTTCTGGAGAAGGAAATAATTTCCTTGAGGAAACATTCATTCCAAGGAGCAAGCTGGTACCTGTGGATTAGCAGGGGCTCCATGCTGCACATACAGGGCCAGTGCCTGGGCACAGCCACCCTCTCGGATCAAGTGAGTTGCATACAAAGCCACGTACTTGTGTAGAATCTTGTAGTTCTGTTCCAGGAGTGGAGGAAAAGCAAGGGGAACATTGGGATCAGTAAGACCAGGCAGTGAGGGTGGGTGGTGACCTGAGGCTCTGGCTTTGTCTAGGAGGCAAAGGGCATATGCAAGCCAGGGCAAGCCTCTGACCCCAATTTCACAGTGTGGAAGACTAAGTTCTCTGATGCTGATTAGGTTTGGGCTTTAGAGGAAGTAAGAGAGAGATAGCTTTGGGGTAGGTGGGGCATCAAGGGAACATGTACAGAGAGCTGGGGGCGGGAGGAAGAGAGCGGTACCTGCTTGGTAGCTGTTTCAATGCACTTGTCCCACTGGCCCTGCTCCACGTACAGATCCAAAGCAGCCATCACATCCACACCCACCAGCTGTGGATCAGTGGAAGACAGGAGAGAGGTGATGTGAAGGGGAGAAGAGGTAGAGAACCTCTCAAGTCTCTGGGTGTGTGCTGCCTCCTGCTAACTCCACAAGTCTCACCGAGTCCACTTTGCCCTGGTTCTTGAGGAAGTCTTTATAATGCTGGTCCACATAGTCTTCATACCTGTGAAGATATGCAGAGATCTCACACTTCATGGTCCCAGGATGGTCTCACGGTTACACCCTTCCCAAGAGAACTTTCTCTCCCAGTTTTTACAAAAGGAAGTAAGAGAATTTCCCACAGAGAAGGGGGGACGAGCTTACCGGGGATCTAACTCCTTGGCCACACGCTTGGCCTTGTTCCATTCCTCACCCTCCATGAAAGCATCAATGGCTTCCTTGACGAGGTCCAGGTTCAGATAGAGCTCTGCAGCCTTCATGGTAGGAAATCAGACTAGAGACCATCTTTCCCCTCCACTCCTCTCTGAACTCTTACCCAGAACTGCATGCTACGCCGGCCAGAGGCCCACCTCACACACCTTCCTGGGCACAGATGTCACCATTCCCCCCATCTCTCTGGAATCTGTCTTTTCAGTCCCCAAACCTTACTTACTGCATTGTGCTTTCCAATTCCAATCAGCTGGGGTCCTACAGCCCGAACTACTTCCAGACTACGTTGGGGAGGCAGAAACTTGATGGAGAGTTCGGCTGCCTGAGTGGTTGAACAGAAGATGGGAATGGGTAGGAGAGACAAATATCGCTGGGGGTCCTCAGTTTAATCTGCTTTTTCCCTTTCTCTTTTAAACCCTCCCTCACCTTCCACCCTCCCAGCAAAAGCCTGCCTCGTGGCCCATCAGAGCCTTTAAAGGACCATCAGAGGACCTATCCAGTACCTCTCAGCTCGTCCTCTTTGAGACATTCTTTGCTGTCTAAGGTCACTGCATTTGGTCCTACCATCTTTGCCAGACTGGTTTCTCAAGTTCTTCGTAACAAATAGAATATTGCTAACATGGTATAGAGAAAGAAACCCTAAAATAGGAGCCTAGGATATTTTGTAAATATTTGTTGGGCTTTTCTGAGCCTCAGTTTCTTCATCATAAAAGTGATGGTTTGGTCCGGCCAGTGTGGCTCAGTGGTTGAGCATCGACCCATGCACCAAGAGGTCGCCAGTTTGATTCCTGGTCAGGGCATGTGCCCAGGTTGTGGGCCCAACCCCCAGTGGGGGGCATGCAGGAGGCAGCCAATCAATGTTCTCTCTCATCGATGTTT